GGGCTACAGTCCATGGAGTTGCAAAGAATTGGACATGACTAAGCACGCGTGCACACACACACACACACACACACACACACACACTTCTTTGTATCTGCATGCCACAATTCTAATCTAAACAACTCTCACATCTAATCAAAATCTTCTGCAAACACCTCTTACCTGATCTGCCCACATACACCCTCCCTGTTTTACATTCTTTTCCATATTACAGCTGGAAAGAGCTTTTAAAAACTATTGTTATTATTCAGTAAATTTTCATTGCTTTTAGGGTATTGGTTTTTAAAATCTTTAACCTCCACCTACCTATTATCCTTCCATATATCTATTATAGATGCCTATTAAATATTTGTTGATAAATACCTATAGTATGCTAACATTTTAGATGCGTGCCTCTCTAGCTAGACTGAAGTCACCTAAGGAGCAGAGTGTGCAGGCATCTCAGTCGTTAAGTCGTGTCCGACTCTTTGAGACACCATGAACTGTAGCCCACCAGGCTCCTTTGTCTATGGAATTCTCCAGGCAGGAATACTGGACCAGGTTACTATTTCCTTCTCCAGGATCAAACTTGCGTCTCCTGCATTGGCAGGTGGATACTTTACCACTGATCCACCTGGGAGCCCACGGGGCCTAGACTTTTCCTAAATCTCCGTGTACTCTCAGTACAGTAAGAATCTGTATATAGTTAATGATGATGACCTTGATATTCTAGTGACCTGATACAAGGAGCTTATATCTACAGTAGAGTTAAAAGGGAAGCTTATGCATAAATAATAACAAAAAGCAAATTATTAATTGTCCTGCTGTTTCCCATACTAAGAGAATTGTCTTGGTAATTAGTATCTATTTTTAAGAGAAATATCCTTAAATTTCCCAAGTATATATACATTTTTAAACTACTACTTGCTTCCTACCTATATTGAAAATTTATACAAAATACTCCCAGCATTTTTACAGGATAATAATTTCAGGGAAAGACTGATCATAAGTTAATAAAAAGATTAAATTTGACAACAAAATGACAGAATCATAATAACTTTGTTCACATGGTCTTTCCACATAAATGTTAAATCATCTAAGCTCTTCACTGTGTGAGCTTTTATTTATTTATTCTTGCATTCATTGTATATAGCAATAAATGCAACAAAATATTGTTTGAGATATTAAAAACTATAAAGGGAAAATAAAATACTTCATGTTCCCTTAAAATCATACAATCATTGGGGGAAATTCATGAGATTACTAGAGACTATAAAAAATAAAATATATTAGCTGTAGGACTAAGCAAAAGGATAAGGCAGAGTAAGGAGAAGTCAGCAACGGAAAGGTTCCTTAGAGAAAACTTACTAAAAAAACTTTTGATCCTGGTCTCTTAGTATAAGGATATTAAGACAGAAAGAGAAACATATCCAGAAATGGCAAACTATACAAGTAAAAGGTACAGAAGCACAAATAGTTAGGGCTTAGGCAGGTAATAGTAAAATCACTTATCTGGAAAAGAAAAAAAAGGGATAGTCACAATAAGGAATTTCTGGTTTATTTATACAGCTATAAGTGAGAGATTTCCAACATATGATTCAGAATGCAGTACAGTATGGACTCTAAGAGATCAAATAGTTTCCAGTCTTCCCTCTTGCCACAACCAACTTATATCTCAGAATTGTAAGTATTGCTTTAACTTCAGATACAGGCTCCAATACATTAATTCTGCAACCTGGGATCATGGTCACATTTGAGTAGACTGATAAATCAATCCAGCTACAATACCTACAGCTTGTCAGGCTGGGATAGCTTTCTGTTTCATATGTGAGGCTTCCTTCTGTTTATAGAAAAATCTTAGTCAAATTCTACATTATTTTTAAAAATTGCTCAGAAGTGAGCCATACAAATCATATAGAAAAGATGCCACAATTTAGACTCTCATAATATTTAAACATGGTTAAAATTAGGTTCAACAATATTATTATTATTATGATTATTTATATTATAATTAGGTTCAACAATATTATAAAGTTTATATCATTCAGTTCAGTCACTCAGTCATGTCCGACTCTTTGCGACCCCATGGACTGCAGCATGCCAGGCTTCCTTGTCCATCACCAATTCCCAGAGTGTACACAAACTCATGTCCATTGAGTTGGTGATGCCATCCAACCATAACATCCGCTATCGTCCCCTTCTCCTCCTGCCTTCAATCTTTTCCAGCATCAGGGTCTTCTCCGGTGAGTCGGTTCTTCACATCAGGTGGCCAAAGTATTGGAGTTTCAGCTTCAGCATCAGACCTTCCAAAGAACATTCAGGACTGATTTCCTTAAGGATGGACTGGTTGGATTCCCTTGCAGTCCAAGGGACTCTCAAGAGTCTTCTTCAAAACANCTCTTGTTTCACCACTTTCAATTTGCCTTGATTCATGGACCTAACATTCCAGGTTATGCAATATTGCTCTTTACAACATCGGACCTTGCTTCTATCACCAGTCACATCCACAACTGGGTGTTGTTTTTGCTTTGGCTCCATCCCTTCATTCATTCTGGAGATATTTTCCACTGACCTCCAGTAGCATATTGGGCACCTACCTACTTGGGAAGTTGATCTTTCAATTCACTTTCAGTTCTCTCTTTTAGTTTATATATTTTCTCTAATTTGTATATTTTTTTTACATATTTGAAATAGATTATCACATGAACTTAAACATAACTAAAAAATTTTCCAAGAGAAATCAATTTGGTCAGACATATTTTTCCTTATCAAAGAGAAAAGCATATCTATCACACTAAAAAAGAAAATTTCAGAAAGTTGTAAAGTTTGAGACCCTTTCAAAAGTTTTTCAAAAACTTCACTCAATATAGCAAATATACTATAGAGAGTAAGAAAAAGAAGACTTTTATATATATAAAATTAAGCTTTTTTCTGATTATAGAAGTCTAAGATATTGCTAAAACTCACTAAAATGTTACCTGTAGTGATGACCCCATGGTTGAATGATTTATAAAAAATGCTACCAAATTCAAATGTCCACTTAAGGACATGCAGCCAAAGAGATCACATGGAGAAGCTGGAAGTAAATTAAACATTGAAGGATAGGTGGGATCTCACAGATGGAATTTTTGAAGAGAAAGAGAGATTTAGCTATGACTAGGTTCAGCTCCAAGAATAATTTTATTAGTTTGGAGACTAAGAACAGTATTTAAAATTATTGAGTGTTTACTATATGCCAGGCTATGTTTTAAGTACTTTTACTCATTTAATCCTCTCAACTATCTGAGCAGTCAAGTGCTCTTATTCCCATTTTATAGAGGAAGATATTGAGACACTCAGAGGCCAAGTGACTTGTTCAGGGTACTAGTAAGTGGTTGAATATGACTGGAAGCCTAGCTGGCAAGGCTACAGTCTGTGCCCTCTGCATGAACCTCTTATAGCCGTTCACAAATCTATAGCTTTGTCTGTGTCGGGCCTTTGTGTATGTGTTCTTAGTCCTCACAGCAATTCTAAGAGCTAGGTATTGTTGTTCAGTCATCAAGTCATGTCCAATTTTTCATGACCCCATATTAACAGTGTCTGGTCATATTTCCTCATTTCTGACCAATATTTTTATTACACTTAGTATAAAATGAAACATAGCTACCTCTTTTTCCCTTACTAAGCATATCACAATGAATTGGTAACATCTGTTTCTTTCACAGATTACCTTCTGAAAGAATTTGTCATGCGTATCTTAGCTTTTTTTTTTCTTAACTATAGTTGACTTACAATATCATCATTCATTTCAGCTGTGGAACAGTGATTCAATATTTTTATGCATTGCAAAATGATCAACACAGTAAGTCCAGTTACCATCTGTGTCCATACAAAGTTATTACAGTATTATTGACTATATTCCCTATGCTGTACATTACATCCCTATGACTTATTTATTTTATAACAAGAAGTTTCTAACTCTTAGTCTCCTCCACCTATTTCACTAATTCCTCCATCTCCCTCCCCTCTGGCAACCCCAGTTTGTTCTCTGATTCTATGAGTCTGTTTATGTTTTGTTGTGTTAGTTTTTTAGAATCTGCATGTCAATGAAATCATATAGCATGTGTCTTTCTCTGACTCATTTCATTTAGGATGATGCCTTCTAGATCCATCCATGTTGTTTAAAATGGCAAGATTTCATTCTTCTTTATGGCTGAATAACATTTCTTTATATATATATCATAAATATATATATATACATATATATGTGTGTGTGTGTGTATATATATATATACATATATATATGTGTGTGTGTATATATATATGTCACATCTTTTTTATCTATTTGTATATTGATGGACACTTAGGTTGCTTCCATATCTTGGCTGTTGTAAATAATGCTCCTCAATTTGCTGAAAATGAAAGAAAGTGTTAGTCACTCAGTCTTCCCAAAGACTGTAGCCCTCCAGGCTCCTCTGTCCATGGAATTCTCCAGGCAAGAATACTGGAGTGGGTTGCCATTCCCTTCTCCAGGGTATCTTCCTGATCCAGGGATTGAACTTGACTCTGTCTCATTGCAGGCAGATTCTTTACCATCTGAGCATCAGGGAAGACCATTAAAAAAAAGAAAAAGTACCATGAGGTTAAAAACATGATCTGTTCTATCATTTCATACTTTATTAATAAATATATTTTCTATAAAATCACATTCCCTATATTAACTTTAGTGGATAATAGTCACATCAAAAATAACTTGGAATTACTATTTGAGACAGTATAGGTCAACTCTGTAAAATAACTTGCCCTTCCTTCTCTGTTACAGCTCAGTTACATTATTCAAAGCCTATAATTAGCAAGTTTCTCTAACCATCCTACAATGAAGGAGGTTCATCCATTAGAGTGGAGAGAAAAATAACAAAAAATTTCAAATGTAAATAAGTTGTTGTTACTACCTAATTTGACTCTTCCAACCATTTCTCTTCCTGTTTATGGTTGTTCTTGCTTTTCGTTTTCTTTTCTTTTTTTTCTTTTTTTGCTTATAGGGACCGAGCCCCTTTTATTTTTACTTCAGAGATGGAGTACTTTATTACAGAGGGTGGGAAAAACCCACAGCATTTCCAAGATTTTGTGGAGCTTTGCTGTCGAGCTTATAATATTGTCAGAAGACACAGTCGGCTGCTCTTGAACCTGCTAGAAATGGTAAGTCCCTTGGGGAATTAATAGAAATAATAAGCTTCACTTTTTTCTCTCTTTCAGTCGTCTATCTTTGTTAATGATTTGGAGTTCCCCAAAAAGCTATTCAAAATGGAATGGAATGAACAAACTAAAAGTACCATTGTACAGCTTACCAACACATTTCTTAATAATTCATAACATTAGTTCACAGTCATTGTCTCAAACCTTTCTCTTCACAATAATACTGATATATTCAGGGGTTATCTCAGTATATTTTGATTAAAGATCAAGGACAGTAATTTAGAATATTATATCAGTTGCATCGTACTTTAGGATTTTTTCAAAAGTATTTTTAAAATGTTATCTCATTTTCACATTATGGCAACCCAGTGATGTAGGACAAGCAAGGATTTTTCTTGGTTTTCCTCCCAGTCCCTTTGATCACTTGCTTATTTTCCAGATGAAGAAACTGAGAGTCAAAAATGTAGGATGACTTGCTAGCAACTCAACTCTAGAATAGCACATTTGAGTCTATGCATCATAGTCCTGGGTACTCTCTGTTGACCAACAGAGGAATTTTTAATGTTTCACTCCACTGTCCAGTGAACCAACCAAATGTCAGGGTGAAAGGAGAGGGATCTGATAGAAATATCTCCTGGAAAGGAAATGTGGTGATTCCTATGGGCACATACATACACACTAATAACTGCAGCAAATCGTAGGAGATCTGTACATCTTTCATAAATCAGCATGGTGTTGGAATCAGTACAATCATCACAAATAACTGGTTTAGGGTGAGCTGTATGGAGACAGTAACATGGAAACTTACATTACCCTGTGTAAAATAGATAGCCAACAGGAATTTGCTACATGTCTCAGGAAACTCAAACAGGGATCTGTATCAACCTAGAGGAGTGGGATGGGGAGAGAAATGGGAGAAAGCTTCAGAAGGGAGGGGATATATGTATACCTGTGACTGATTCATGTTGATGTTTGGCAGAAAGCAACACAATTTGTAAGCAATTANAAATTTTTAAAAACTGGTTTAGAACCATCAGATGACAGTTCTATTAGATGTTGTTAAGGGTAGGTTTGAATTCCCGGGTTTGAATTCTAAGTTGGCCTCTTACTGGTTATATTCCTCAGCATGTGTTACTCACCCCAATTGGACTCTTGTTTCCTCATCTATTAACTAAAGGTAGTAGCATCTACCTTGTAGGACTGATAAATACATGACCTAGTGCTGAATCCTTTCCATGAGCATTTATGCTAAGTGCCTTATGTGTATTAATTGATTTACATTTTTTAATAGCCCTATTAGATAATTAATATAAACAGCACAGTACCTGTCCTATAGTAGGATCCAGTTATTACACTAGATCCTTGTTAACCTATTAGAGCATTGTCCATACAGTATCCCCTAATCACTTGGTTATTTAAATTTAATTACCATGGAATAAAATTTAAAATTCAGCTCCTTAGTCTCACTAACCACATTTCACTTGAAATTTCACATTTCACTCACCAGCCACATCTAGCTAGTGGCACCATATTGGGCAGCACAAATATAAAACATTTTCATCATAGCAGAAAAGTTCTATTGCATAGTATTAAATAAATGTTGACCTTCTTGCACTGAAGATTGGCTTTTGATTCTTGTTTCACCTTTCAAACAACATATGGACCTTACTTCTTTCCTCTCTGTCTTGAAAATATGGATTTCTAAATATTCTATAAACATGTAGTCCTTCATATAGAAAGACATTTTGGTTACTTCACATGTAAACTGGATATATACGGTTCTGTCCATCTCCAGAGTGAAACTGACTTTCCAGTAATAGCCAGTGATTCATACTGGTAGAATTTTATTCTATCTCCCAATTCTGTTAGGCCATATTACAGTCATAAACAGAGATGGTTTATAGTTCATTGTATTCAAGCCACAGGTAAAACTACAAGGGCTGAGTCAATGACCTTGACTCCATTTCATAGTAAATATCCAGATGATGTCAACGTTTGCACTCTAATGGGGTCTAACTCATGAATCCATAAACCTTTGAGTACTTACTATATGCCAGAAGCTGTGGAGAATACATGAACATATGAGATCTTGTCAGTCTTAAAATTTTCAATTTAATAAGGAGGACAAAATTCATGTATACAAGCAAATTAGGTACCCAGCGATTCTAAATGTCTAAAATGCTGTAAGTAACTGCCTACTAAGACTGAGTACCATATTCTAACAATTGCTTCCACCAGTCACAGACATTTCAAAAATAAACCCAAAGCAGAAAAGGACGAATATCATTTTATACTGTTTCTCAGATGACAGTAAAATTATGCTGAATGACAAGCATGTTAAAATAATATGAAAGAACAGCTTTTGAAGAAAAAAAAATTCTAAAAGGTATTGGTGGACTTTTTTCTTTTGTTTAATAAACATTTCCACTTACGTAAAAAAAAAAATTTTAGCATGTGAGTCATAATATATTAAATAGTCATTAAAGAGTAATACAATGTTATTTCATCTAAAGAAGTAGATATGTGATATTTTATTCAAGTAGTCAAATAATTTTTCATAAAATAACATTAAAATCAGACATTGAAGGATTCTGGTAAGTAGTATTTGCAAAAAAAATTCCCTGTTTTAATTATTCAAGTGTGACTTTTAGGCTAAGGAAGAAAATGAATGGTTGGCAGTGAATGATACTAATTCAAATTAATTTTATGATCTTAGATTTAGACTTTTACAGAAATTGAAACAGAGATCAGATGCAACGTGAGCCAATTAGTGTGTGCATGTGTGCTCAGTCATGTTTGACTCTGGGGCCTCATGGATCATAGCCTTGGTGTCAGGCCCCTGTCTTCATGGAATTTTACAGGGATGAATACTGGAGTGGGTTTCCATTTCCTGCTCCAGGGGATCTTCCTGACCCAGGTATCGAACCCACGTCTCCTGCATTGGCAGGCTGATTCTTTACCACTGAGCCTCACCTGGGAAACGGACCAATTAGACAAATGAAGGTGGTTGTTATTTAGTCATTAAGTCTTCTCCGGCTCTTTTGTGACCCCACACATGTATAAAACAGCAATGTTATATCTCTGTTTCTGACTACTTACCTCTTGATTCTCTGCTCTTCACATTTCTTTCTTATGGGGTTCTGTAGATAAACAAAGCATCAGTAAAGGTTTCAAGACCATGTCTTCTCTGGTAGAGCTTCTTATAAAATAAAGACCAAATTTAAATGTACAGAAGATTGTTTTACGGCATTTAGTTATTTATTTCCCATGGACAGAGGAGCCTGGTAGCCTGCAGTCCATGAGGTTACGGAGAATCGGACATGACTGAGCGACTTCACTTTCACTTTTCACTTTCATGCATTGGAGAAGGAAATGGCAACCCACTCCAGTGTTCTTACTTGGAGAATCCCAGCGATGACGGAGCTTGGTGAACTGCCGTCTATGGGGTCCCACAGAGTTGGACACGACTGAAGCGATTTAGCAGCAGCAGCAGCAGTATGTATATATCAATCCCATTCTCTTTACCCCAAGCTATTTTTTTTTTCCATTCCAATTCTGGCCTACACATGGACTCCTTTTGGATCACTTTCTACCTCTGTGTGTAATCTATATTTCCCTCAACTCTCTCTCAAATGACTTCTTCTGTGTTAACTTACTCAAAAAGAACTTAATCTACTGTGCCATAACCTAGTTACGACTTGAGAAGTACTTGACATGGGTCATAAATTCTGCCCTCCATGAATGGTCAATAACAAAGGATTATGAGACACAAACATTTGGTGTCTGCTGTGGAGTTCATTGCTCGTCGTTGGTAGAGAACAGTCCGTTTCCAGATATCCACAGTCATTTTTGTTTACTCCTGGGAAAAGCTGGGGAAAAATAATCCATGAAATTCCCATCTTGCTTAAAAGCAAAACATCTGTAGAGACCCAAGAGTGTTGCTGGCTGAATTCACTAACATAAAAGCCTGTATTTCATCAGCTTTTCTCTTATTAAAAAATCAATAGCAGTCATTATGGAAGGCTCCCAAAGAACATAGGGACCATTCACCGAGTTTAAAATGTTTATCACACCCATTTTTATATCCAATATTTCCCAACAGAAATCTTTCTAACTTCTCTACATGGTGGCAAAGAGTGTCTGCTTTCTGAAGCATGACTATCAAGATAGATTTGGACTCAGTAGTTGAAAAACAGAATTAAAAAAATATTTTTTAATGTTCCCATGTTTTGAGAAGGAACTTATCTGTTTATCTGTACCAGCCACCCTTTCTCTTTCTTATTGTTGGTGATTTAGTCACTAAGTCATGTCCAATTCTTGTGGCCCCATGAACTTTAGCCTTGCCAGGTTCTTCTTTCCATGGGATTTCCCAGGCAAGAATACTGGAGTGGGTTGCCATTTCCTGCTCCAGGGGATCTTCCCAACCCTGGGATCTAACCCACATCTTCTGCATTGGAGGCGGATTCTTTACCACTGAGCCCGCCAGGGAAGCCCATCTAAAGTTTTGACCCCTGTAATCTAAGCTGGCAGGCACTGGAATCACATCTCTGTGGGTCAGTGAACAGACCTGACGAAGTGAACCCAAGTTTGAGACCGTCCTTACTCTCACGTGCAGAGCTGCAACACTAAAAGCCCTCTTTCTAAGGAATGAATCCCATCAACAAGGGCAAAGTTAGCACTTGCTTCCTTTAATCAGCCACATGAAAGGGAGAGAATTTGGATCTGAAGCCATCTGCAGCTGGCAGACCACTGGTGTGGTCTGGGTGTGTATGTGTGCATGTGTAGGAAGGGGTAAGTATAAGGTCTGTTTCCCAAAGAAATGTTTGATAGAGTCCTACAGGAGTGTGTGTGAATTCAGAATATTCTGAGAAACTAGAAAGGAATTCAGATCTAGGTGTTCATAACAAGCAGACAGTCATAGTGTGTTAAAGGGGGACACTGTCACAATAAGTACACATATGTCTCTGGAATTCTTAAGTACAGAACTGATAGAACCTAATCTGGGCTTTAGTTGCTCTTGGCAATGTATCTCCCTATGGTTGATTTTAAGTTTATTAGTTGGGACTGAAGTTCTATCTGTAGGTTTTCAATGCCTCACAGGGTTTTTATTCACTCATGCATTCATTAATTCAGACATTCATTAAGTCCTAACTACAAAGCACCATGTTAAGCAATAGAGACAATTCAATGTGGACTAAAAACTTAATTTCTATTCTCAAAGAACTTAAGATCTAGTGTGACAAACTTACACTCAAATAAAACATAGCTAAATCTAAGCAGCAATAAGTTCTTTGAAAGAGTTGTAACCAAAATAGGATTACTGTACAAAGAAAACAAATTATGAAATCTTAGCAAGGGCACCTGTGGTGCTTTCAAGGAGGAAGAAGTATTTGAGATGAGCCTTCAAAAAGAATTTCAACAGACAAGGGAAGAGAGGAAAGGAATCCTGACTGAAAGAAAATCATAAGTATGTGTGAAGGCTTAAAGACCATGGGCATATCATGTGTTAGAAACAGAGGTGATCAAGTGCAGCCAGTCTGTGGCACAGATGGAGGCCTATGTAGATAGTAAGGTTGAAGTGTTAGATCACAGTTAGATTAAGAAAGTCATTTATGACCAGGATGAAAATTTTGGATTTATATAGCCACCTGAGATATAGCCATCTGAGAACCTAGAAAAATTTCTTTGTTTTTGATGAAGGAAGTACCATCATACTAAAATCCATGTAGCTTGGATTTTAGATGGATAACTTAGAAATTATGTAATTAGAGAGAAAAGTATTGAAGAGCCAGAAAAAAAAAACTATTCAAGTTATCTAAGCAAATGAAGATGGGGAGCTGAGCTGGAACAATAATTGCAATGGAAGACTGTCATTGGGAATCAAGAAGAAGAGAAACTCAAATAAGATATGAGTTTGTTGTTACTATGGGCTTCCCTGGTGTCTCAGACAGTAAAGAATCTGCCTGCAATGGGGAGACCTGGGTTTGAGCCTTGGGTCAGGAGGATTCTCTGGAGAGGGAAATGGCTTCCCACTCCAGTATTCTTTCCTGGAGAATGCCATAGACAGAGGAACCTGATCGCAAAGAGACTCGACTGAGTGACTAACATGTTCACTTCTTGTTATTTGGACAATAGTGGCAGTGAGATATGAAATAAGAAACAGGAGGAAGAGTTTATAGGAGAAGAAAATTTGCTCAACTTTAGATATCATGAATTTAAGATGCTGGATCATCCACAGGGAAAGATGGCTAACAACTTCCCAGGACAACCTAATCCATTCCCATGGTTTCAATTACTATCTGTATGCTAATAACCCCCAAATCTGTATTTATGTTTTAAGCCCCAACTAGTCCACCAAATATATCCAGTCAACCACCTAGTTTTCTCAGTTCTATCCCCTAGGTATATTTAAACTCTAGTCACTTTTCTTCATTCCTCAACAGTCTCCGATCTAGCCTCTTATTTGGCCCCACTTTATTTTTCACATGTAACCATGATGATCTTTCTCAAACACAATTCATTCTTTTTATGCTCATATATAAACATGAAAGGAGCTTTCCTTGCCTTTAGGATAAAGTACAGAATATTTCCTATTGCTAAAACATCCCACATTCCTTGCCTTTTCAGCCCCATCTCTTGTCACTCACCCACAGGATACCCAATGTTCCTGAAATCTATCTTGAATATCTGTCTGTGAACAAATGGAAGATATCTTGCTCTCCTCTGTCCATCTATTTATGCTGCTCCCTCAGCCTGTGTGGAAAGAGTAGGAAGGGAAAATAGTTTCAAATCCATTTTTTTTTCACTTGAATTTCATCAAGTCAGTCACAACTTCAGCCATCCTTCATAGCCACACTCTTGTTTATTCTTTTTTAAGATTTTTATTTTTTGATGAGGATCCTTTTTGAAGTCTTTACTGAATGTGTTACAGTATTGTTCCTGTTTTATGTTTTGGTATTTTGGCCACAAGGCATATGGGATATTATCTTCCTAACCAGGGATCAAACCTACACCCCCTTCATTGGAAGGCAAAGCCTTAACCACTGGACCTTCAAGGAAGTTCCTCAGCCTTTTCTTTATTTTTAGGATCGACCTCGTTGTTCTTAACTTCCCACAACTGTTCTTAACTTCCCTTCCTCTATTCCAGAGCAGGAAGTAATTTATTTTAGTCATGAGATACTGATGACCTTCTTTTTTTCTCAGAGCTCACATTTATCTCAAAGATCTATTTTTTTTCTAAGCTGTCTGCCTATAACTAAAGAGAATATTACCCCTTCAATCTACACCATAATTTAAACAAAGCATTCTCCCAAAGTTTGGCAAAAAAAATACCTGAAACTTTGTATGGTTTAATCTTTGTTTCATTGTTTTAATATTTTTATAATAAATTCAGTCACCACTTAACTAGAGAAAAATGTGTTCTTATATTAAGAGTCATTGACTCATGAAAGAACATAAGATTAAAAAGCAAAGGAATGGGGCACAAGATTAAGCAACAGAAAGATGAATTCTTTTCTTTCCTTACACACCATTTGATCTGTATGCTTTACTTACATGTTTGGAGGGATTAAGTTTTTCTTCTTAAAAATAGGTATTGTGATATAATTTTTGTGTTATAATTTATATGTATAGCTCTTTCTTAATCATTACTAGTTGATTCTCCCAGAACATGTTGGGTATTTTTATATCCACTTTAAAAAGGAGATAATGGAAATTCAAAGAGGTTAAAAGCCTTTTTCAAGATCATTTAGATTTTAAATCATGGATCCAGAAATTCAGACACTAGAGCTCTTATTATTTCTATTGTCTCTTGCTGAACATGCCTCTTCTACAGAAGACAAGAATGGAGATTTTATTTACATTTATTGAGATTTTTTTGTTTGTTTTGTTTGTGTGTTTTTGTTTTGCTAAGATGTTACATGCAGGATTGCCCGAGCTAAGTGGAATCCAAGACCTGAAATATGTGTATAATAATCTTCGTCCACAAGATACAGACCTCGAAGCAACAAGTCATTTTACCAAGTAAGACTAGCTGTGAATGTATGCGTATGCATGTATTCTTGTGTACAGACACATCTCACATTTGAGATGATCTCAGGGTGAACAGTCATGGGTATAAAACTGTCATTTCCAAAACAAGCTTGTGTCTTTTACCCTAGGGACAGAAAAGCTGCAATGCAGACTGTCTAGCAGGAGGCCTTAGTCAGCGTTTCTGTAGGAAAAGCTATTGTTCGCTAACCAGCCTCTTCATGTAACACATTACTCAATAAAGAGGTCAGAGAGCTGACAGAAATAAATTGGTTGCTCTACTCGAACTATGTCCTGAAAAACATTTTGGAAAAAGATTTATGATGAGATATGGACTCACTACTTTCATCTCTAAGAAAATACAAATGTTGGAATATTTGGTGACTATCTTCTATTGTTAATCTAGTTTTTATTAAACAAGTCTGGGAAAGCGCTAGTGAACAACAAGGTAAGAGTCTGGGCACAATATACTGATTATCAGATAGATTCAAAATCTGTCAAATGGGTGGTTCATTTTATAATACAAAAATCTCTTGAACTTTAATTTTTGAAAGGATAGCAAAACTGCTAGCAGATTTTAGATGCTCCATAAATGTTAGCCATAATCATTATCCTAGTAAACATTTAAGTAGAGAAATACAGTGCTGTTTCCTGTAATTTCTTAATATTGAATCATGTGTATATTCAGTCACTCTGTCGTGTCCAACTCTTTGCAATCCCATGGACTATATAGCCCACCAGTCTCCTCTGTCCATGAGATTTTCTTGAAAAGAACACTGGAGTGGGTTGCCATTTCCTCCTCTAGAGGTTCTTCCCAATCCAGGGATCAAACCTGCATCTCCTGCGTTCCCAGCACTGGCAGAGAGATCCTTTACCACTGAACTACATGGGAAGCCCAATATTGAATCTTATTTGAGTCTAATTTTTAATCATTGTAATAGTCAACTGGCAATTAGTAAACACAAATTATAATTTTTTAATGGATGTATGCTCTGTCTTGTTAAAGACAACACTACTGAGAGTAAAATCTTTCCCACACAGGTATTATTTTTCCCTCCTTTTCCCAGAATGTATAGCGTAGAAACTGTCTCCATTCCAAGGGATTAGGGGGAGTTCATGGGAATGTATGTCCTAAACACTCAGAGAATTTCACTTTTGTAAGGAATCTCTGTTTAACGAACTTTAATGGATACGCTGCTCTTGTGTTGAGTGGTAGAAATATGACAGAATACTATAGCTAGAAGAGCCCTAGCTTCTAAATAAAATAGTTTATTTACTTATTTATTCTGACAATAAATACGCAAATGAGAAAACTGAGATCTAAAGAATTAAGGGCTTGCCCATGATTAAAAGAAGTAGTAAGACATAGAGCTAGGACTAGAGCCCAAAGCTAAGGCTTTGATCTCATGCTCTAGGGTTTTTGCAGCATTCAACATTGGAAACTATATGATATGATTAAGGAACTCCAGGCAGAGCCCCTGTAAAAATATACCTTCCTGCTATCTGGTTTGTTTCTGAAATTCTACCATTAGTGATTCTTTAGGTAGGTATGGTTTTTTGAATCTTAACCCTGAATATTCATTGGAAGGACTGATGCTGAAGTTGAAGCTCTTATAATTTGGCGACCTAATGTGAAGAGCCAGCTGATTGGAAAAGACCCTGATGTTGGGAAGTATTGAACTCAAGAGAAGAAATGGACAAATGAGGATGAGATGGTTGGATGGCATCACTGACTCAATGGACATGAGTTTGAGCAAACTCCAGGAGATAGTGAAGGACAGGGAGGCCTGGCCTGCTGCAGTTCATGGAGTTACAAAGAGTAGGATATGACTGAGTAACTGAACAACAACAAAAAAGCGCTTTAATAGTAAAATTATCTCTGAAAGAAGCAATGGTTTATATCTACTTGCATGCTAAGTTGTTTCAGTCTTGTCCGACTCTTAGAAACCCTATAGACTGTAGCCCACCTGGCTCCTCTGTCCATGGGATTCTCCAGGCAAGAATACTGGAATGGGTTGCCATGCCCTTCTCTGGGGGATCTTCCAGACCCAGGGATTGAACCCACATTTCTTATGTCTCCAGCATTGNATAAAGGATTTGATTTAGGTCATAACTGAATGATTTAGTGGTTTTCCCCACTTTCTTCAATTTAAGCCTGAATTTGGCAATAAGGAGTTCACTTCTAAGTGCCCCTTAGAAAACTACAAATATTAGTTGACAACTGACTGTGGCCAAAGACACTAGCTTGAAGACTGGAAGAGGTGTTTCAGATCCTCAGTTTCAAGGATGAGGGACTCTCAAGTTGCCTCAATTAGTGGGGGCAAGGGACTAATGAGAAATCCCAAGGAAGGACAGCTAACTGTCTGCCTCAGGAAGAACAGAAGGTCTATCACAGGGCCTGGAAGGTCCTTCCAGATTTATGTTGAGGGCAGCTCTGGGGACCTCATGAATAGGAAATCAGCCTTTTACTCGAGCTGCTGACCTTGCTACAGTTAACTCCATCCAAGGTGTATGGGTTCACCTAGTACCAGAAATAGTCCCCTCAGGCTATTCTGTCAGGATCTGACTGGGATGCCCTTCTTTAAAGTGGGCTGCAGCAGGGCAGGCACAGTGGTTGGCATGTCAGTGAGACAGAGTCTGATGGGGGAGGAATGGAGAGAGGGCCAGAAAAGGTGGAGTTTAAAACATGATTGTGCTCCAACCTGCATTTGATGTGTCATGCTTGAACAAAGCAGTTACAGGCTACAGTCCACAAATAAGCCCTGCTACCATTTAGGACAAAGGGAAAAACTATATATCAGATGAAGAACGTTCTTTCAGGACGAGGCCATAGAAAAAGGTAAATAAGCTTTGTCTGCCAGTCTCATCCCTCCACATCCTCCAACTTCATCTGACACACTCAGATCTGTGAGGGATAGAATTGCAGAGATGGGAGAGCTTGCCTATGTTGACTCATCTCCCTTCCCATTGAGAGGACCTGAACAAGCAAAAGAAGTGGATCTGAAGCCAGTAGAATTCTGGCAGTGAGCTAGATCTCATTTATCTGCCTGCATCTCTCCGCCAGGCTAATTTTCTCACTTTCAGATGTTATGTGGTACATTCGGTTAATTAAACATTTTTCTACAAATTTATAGTCAAGAACTTGTTCTCTTTGGGAGACTTAAAACACATCTGGTCATCTAAACCACAGCACACTATTACTCTGTTCAGTAATTTTCTCTGACTTGCCATATCCTACCTCTTACTTTTGAGGACCTTATAAACTTGATTGTCTTTATTGAGGTTTATCCACACCACCTCTGTTATTCCCAAATGAATTCTTGCCATGGTAGATCAATTTGTCAATATACATTCAGTCCTGCAGGTCTTCCCTGGTGGTTCAGTGATAAAGAATCCACCTGCCAATGCAGGAAATACAGGAGATGCCAGTTCAGTCTTCCCCTGGGTTGGGAAGATTCTCTGGAGGAGGGCATGGCAACCCATTCACGTACTCTTGCCTCGGAACTCCCATGAACAGAGGAGCCTGGTGGGCTACAGTCCATGGAGCCGCAAAGAGTCGGATACGAGTGAGCACACATGTATTCATGCCTGCTTTGTCTTTTTAACTTATGTGTACAGCCTCATCAAAAATGGCTTCCTAAGAATTATAAAATTACTAGAAAAGAGGAGGGTTTCTGATCTAATCTTTAGTCCTATCCATCCCTTGAGACTCTGGACATCATCCACAAAGGCTTTTCAGATTATTTTAATACTCACTAGTCTTCTATAACTCTACAGAACATGTATTATTTCATGATATGCCTAATTTACTAAATTATATACTATCTAGTATATCACCTAAGTTAATCTGCTGGTTAGTTTAATCAGTTTTTCCCAAGTAAAGCAGAGGACTTATTTCCACTTCCAAAAGTATCTGAATGTGAAACAAGCTCTAGTCGCTTAAAATATATTAAAAAGTTTAACATCACAGAAAATACAATTTTACCATGAAACATCAAGTGTAAAAAACTCATATAGCAATGGCTAACATTTAATATAGTGCTTCTTACATGTCAAACCTTTTTCTAAGTACTTTTCCTAAAGTAACTTGTTTAATCATCATGACAAGTCTATGAGGCAGTATCACTTTTCTCTACATACTTAGATCAGGAAATTGAGACCCCAGAGAAAGAAAATGATTTGACAAAGGATACAGCCAACAAGAGACAAAGCCACGATGCAAATCCAGGGGCTCATGCCCCATAACGCAGGGCCTTAAATTCTACTGTGCTTAGATGCTCCCCTCACAAGTGAGGGCTACTGGAGTTGCGCTGCTTCTTAATTCAGATCACAGTTTTCTTGAGATTCATTCATCGGAGCCCACGCAGGCTGCAGGATGATATTGTAACCTTTCCAGGGCACCTATCTTCATTCCTGAATACCCCCAAGCCTTGGCGGACCAACGTCCTTCACAGAATTATTATTCTAGCTCTGTACTGTGCCACCATCAGGTGTCCCCCAGGTGTTTGGTTCAGGATGGTGGTGCTAGTGGTAAAGAACCCACCTGCCCATGCAAGAGATATAAGAAATGCCAGTTTGATCCCTGGGTTGAGAAGATCCCCTGGAAAAGGAAATGGCAACCCACTCCTGTATTCTTGCCTGGAAAATCCCATGGACAGAGGAGCCTGGCACACTACAGTCCATGGGATCACAAAGAGTTGGACATGACTAAAGTACACACACATGCTGATACAGTGGTTGACCTGGGAGATCCCCATGGGATAACTTTATTACTGATGCCAAGACCACCACCTGCCTTCCCACTTTTGGCACATTACCAGATGCCTTGAACCTCTATTTTTTTCTACTTTTCTTCTCAGAGAAATCTCCAGGAGACTCACCCTCCCATTCATTTCCAAGAGCCTGTCTCAGTAGTATCTTTTGTCCTAAAATCTCAATTATGTACCTTGATATTTTACATATGATTTAATATGCCTTGAGATTATCTTTTCAACTCTC